TTAATGTGGTAAAACCACAAGTTAATAATTAGTCCTTCTCCGGTTACCTTACACAGACCAGGCGTATGCCCTTTAGGAAAGCAAGATTACCTAAACCTTGTTCTATATAATCAAACAGTTTTAAATTAAACACAATATCTGTGAGCAAATAGAGCCCATTAGACAACAACACCCACTCAACTAAACTAGAGGCTTGCAACATTCAATTATGAATTGTAGTCCACATCAACACAATGTGTATGCAATGTTAACATGTTAGGTTATGTCAGAGTTATGAGTAGTTTAGTTGTCATTTTGTTTTGTGTCCATTTCTTCAGCAGCAATAATGCCTTACTGCTGTTATGAAAAATAGAGAGTGAGACATTTCCCAAACCATCTGGGCACTGATATGGCTTATAGTCATAAAACAAGAATTCAAACAGACAGGCCTTTGAAAAAAAAAATTTCTGACAGGGTTGCAGTCACTTAACAGTCAGTAAACATTTAACAATTATTGTTACAAGCCATTGTGGTTCTGTTCGTACAGATACTATACTATATAGTTTTGTTCGTTTTTATTGCAGTTTTAGTTATTTTAATACATCAAGTTAAACTAAATGAAAAATGTTGCCTTGACGACTACATAAAAAAGTATATATATAACATTAATTGATTTGTTAATTGTTATTTTATTTTATAAAATGTATTTAATAATTTATTAATTTTCATTATTTTATTTCAACTGAAGTTTATTTTATTTTAAGGAAGATTGTTTCTTTAGTTTTAATTAACTAATAACTCTGGTCCATGTGATTGATTTTCTTCTATGGGACACAAAAGTTGACATTTTAACAAGATCTTGAGTTTATGTGAGATGAATGAATGAGTTGATCCAATTCACAAAATGATTCCCTGAATGATTCATTTGCAAATTGGACTCACAACGGTTGACAGTTACATTTCATTGTGTATTTTATGCCTCCGTAGGACTTTAAAGCCTAGAAAAGAAAAATCAGTATGCTCCTTTTTGGTTCCTCATAAAGACATTGAAAAGGTTTTATAAACTGTGACAAGCAGAATCATTTCATGGGTGTTGTTTTCTGCCTTCAAGGATGGAAATGGCTATATTGACGAGCAGGAGCTGGATGCTCTCCTGAAGGACCTCTATGAGAAGAACAATAAGGTGAGATAAGAAGGCTCAGCATTATTCTAGTATTGGACAATGACAGATAAGGAAAGCAATCCCTCAAATTGTGATTGTTTAACCTCAGGAGGTGGACTCTAAGAGCCTGAATGGTTATAAGCAAAGCATCATGGCACTGTCAGACGGGGGGAAACTGTACCGCACAGAGCTGGAGATTGTCCTTTGCCGGGAGCCCATGCAGTGAATCAAGGCTTCCTGACCTCCATCTCAGCTCTGTTCCAGCTGCCTGAATACTGTAACCGTGTGCATGTGCCGGGCACCCCGTTCCCCTCCCATCCCCCTCTTGAAATGAGTTCTGAATGAGTGTGCACAGAAAAGCACAAAGTCTCTCCTCTCCCCTTCTTTCCTTCCCCTTCCCACACCCCAATCGCCACTGCTTTCCTTTGCCTACAAACTGCAGCTACTATGATGCCCTCTGCTCAATTTTTAAACTATATATTTAAAGAAGAATCTTTCTGAAAGAGTTGCAGACTAATGGTATAATATGGTTAGATATGTGATAAATTTATTTGGAGTGCTTGGATTCAAATTCTTCTGGTTTCTTCCCTTCCGTTTGGTTTCCTCTTCGGTTTGTTTTTGACCTCATTTCATTTCATTCCTGCCCAATTATGTTGGGGTTTGTGGTGTTTTTTGGCTGATACTGTTTAAGGATGTAACTAAGAGCATTAATAAAAGTTATGTGATATACATTTCCTGTTTCATCTGTTTTGTTCATTCTAGCGAACAGTTTTTTGTTTGATCATTCGAATGCATTAAAAGAAATACAATAGCAGGAATATTCCTTTGATGGAACAGAACATCCTTCATTCTTTAAAAATGCCCTCTGTCGCATGTAACGTCTTACCCAAGCAGTCAGTTCCTCTGTGACATGCTGGATGGAGACATCACATTTCGAGTAAAAATGTTTCCTAATTGTGTCCAGATGCATTTAAACCACATTAAATAATTTATCTGCTAGACTTTCCTCTTACATCGCAAGAGTTTGTAGAAATTCCTATCAATTAATCATCAGAACATGAATAATTAATCCAAATGCAGTTTTGGTTTTATAAATGGGGATTCTCTACACTGCTCTGATGTACACTGATGATTGTGAACAAAACACTGATGAAAGTTCACATTTATCTAATCTGACTAATTCTAATCAATTGAACATTCTATATAATATATTAGTTCTAATAATTTTTTTTGGGTGTAGAAATTCCTATCAATTAATCATCAGAACATGAATAATTAATCCAAATGCAGTTTTGGTTTTATAAATGGGGATTCTCTACACTGCTCTGATGTACACTGATGATTGTGAACAAAACATTTCACATTTATCTAATCTGACTAATTCTAATCAATTGAACATTCTATATAATATATTAGTTCTAATAATTTTTTTTGGGGGGGGGGACACATTCCTATATCTGAAGATGACTATTTCAAGCAAAAATACTTATAATTAATTGAACATTTCTGCATACTTTACATGCAAAAAAATAGCATGCACTCAATACAGTGTGAATCTAGTTAAAAGCAAGTGAACTATTAAAGGAAAATAATATGCTAAAAAGATTCCTCAGCTCTAAACATTTTGTTTTTATTAAAAAGCTTTGCCCTTCCCTTTGTAGCTATTGAATACAATTACCAGAAAGCATTCAGTCTTGTATAATGTCTATATTGTAATTGCCAGAGCAATGAATTAATAAATGAAGAGAATTCTGTTCTTTTATTGATGATGTTTAAATATAGCTACTATGAATTTAATGAGGAACTGAGAGCGGATGGCTCAATTCTTTTCCATAGCATTTCTACGCGACACAAAATGGGAACGAGGCTATGTTCTTCGAAAAGAAAACATTGTATCCTAATGGTAATGGATGCAAATTGAAAATCCTTAATTATAATTTGGATGCCTTTGAGATGCCTTTCAATTACCTTAAGCATCTAAATACTTTTTAAGAATTGATGAAGCTTATCCGGGTATAAGAAACATCTAATGGTGCATCAACAGTTCAAAACAGCATTGGATTAAATTAATATTTGCACTAATTCATAAAATTTTGGTTGCTAGCTACTGCAATTTCCCCTATCATTTCTGTGTAAATGAATGGATTGCTTTTAACTGAAATTTATATTTTTAGCAGACGCTTGTAAATAAAACCAGTATTACTGGAGCATGTTTTACAGGATAATACTATTTCAGTCCTTCATGTTTCTATTTCAAATTTCATGTTTAATTCAATTATTTTTGCTGCTTCTTTGTCTTTATTTGTGAAACCTACTAGCAATTTTTGAGTTAAAACTGTTTCACCACCAATTTTGTTTCAGAGTACCAAAGCAATTTCACATTAACAAATCACATTAACAGCACCAAAACAAGTGAGAATACACCATACACAGCCTTAGAATCCACTTTTCAAGCTATGCCTGAAAGCTCAAGATGAAGCATACAGCAACTACAAACACTAAACTTTATAAGACAAAGATTTAACAGCCTCAGCTTATTATCCCTGGATCTCCTGCAAGCAAGCGAGGATGTTACCACTGAACCACCAATGCTCTCTGCCACTCAGTGTACGCTAATATAATTATAAAGGCCTTTAATGTCCTTGCGAGCCTCATAAGTCTCACAGAAAATTGAAAGCATAAAAGGGAAAAGGAGGGTGGTGGCTAAGAAGGCTTGAGTGAGTGGATGTTAAATGGTCACTTCTGTTAAATACATAAGAGTTGAGGCACACAGATTCATTCTTTACTTGCACATTTAAAAAAAACATGGCAAGCATTTTTGGCAGGAATTAAAGTTATATTGATATGCCACTATTATCATATGTAATAATATGTCAGTATTTACTGCATATGAAATTAAACTGCAGGGTGCAACAACCGTAGGCAGAGGATCTGCTATATTAAAGCTGCAGTATAAAGACATCATCCTTTATATCCCAAGACAAGCTTGTAAGAGGTGAGCCTTATATTTACACTTCTTTAAATAGTAAGGATTCAAGTATGCAAAAATTGCTGCGATGTGTGGCACAACATTGACTCCAAGTGGCCACTTATTATAATTGCACTAGATTGTCAATGTGCACATTGCTTCACTCTTGCAAGTGTTGGATCTCAGCTCACTAGTAAATTCACTGTTTTAAGAGCAACAAAGAATGAGCTTGTGAAGAATGAAAAAATATTTGGACCAAGGAAATGCTATGCACATTTGGGTAAAGGAAAGCTGTAGTGATACACAAGCAATAATTAGGCCTTTTAAGACAAAATATGTCCATTTTATTTATGACATTTAATATCTTATTACTTTTTAAATAGCAAGATACTTTTACACAACATTTAGGCCAGGTAAATACTTCAAATCACATATAACCACTTCAAATAACCACAACAGATGTACAATTACCTTTTCATAATGCCTCAACAACAAATTCAAATGGCCAGGACTACTCTTTTCTATGTTTTACCTTGCTAGTTTGCTGGTCTCAGCTGGTTTAAGCCTGGCCAAGCTGGTGTTTTGTTGGTTTTAGCTGCTTGGTCAGCTGGTCTCCCAGCCTGACCAGCTAAAGAAGTCAAACCCCCTGTAAAACCAGCCTGCTAAATCAGATATGACCAGGCAGGAAGACTTGGCTAATATCAGCCATCCAGCTTTTTTCCAGCAGGGATATATAGACAACACACTTTAATTTAGTATTAATCTCATCAGACCAGTTGCTCCTAGTTGCTGTCTAGTCCTCTAGCGTTTAACCCACGCCTCAGTCTCATTTACTCCTAACCCCGTCTCATTTACTGTACTACCTCTTGTCTCCAGCCGCTATGCAATGCAATGTCCTTGGAGGCGCTATAAACAACACAAGCAGCAGACAAGTTAAAGTCGCCAGCCAGTGTGCGTTTGTCTTCCACCAATTCATCTGCGCTTCCAGCAATGGCCCTGCTGAAATCCACCAAGATTTTGACTAGTGTAGGGGCTCAGGCCCCTGTTTTAGCAGTCCTACAGCTCCGTGCAAGGTAACTTGAGGCTTTATTTTTCTTGTGTAAACACTCCGTTGCCAAGTTAGCTTGTGCTAGCGAGTTAGCGGACTGAGCGCTAGAGCAGCACAGAGCCGCTGAAAGTTACAGTATGACACTACTGTAACACATGAGATATTAACCTTGTGCTTCTAATTCAACATAGTTATTGTATTAATGCCTTCGGTTATTTAACGAGTGTTCTTATATTTCAACAAGACGTTTTAATAGCATATGACGACGGCGGTCAATGTCAGTTATCATATATCAGGGCTTTGTTAATCGAGCAGAGTTCAGGAGATCAGAAGACTGGCGAGATATTTTTCTCGTTAAATGTTCATAATGACATTAGTGATGTATCAGGTTCAACTAACGTTAGGCCTAACTGGCTTGTGGCTACCGTCTGATTCAAGGTTGTTCATAGATTTTTTTTTTAATGTTAGTTTGGTGGCATTATTGCATGATAGTTTGTAAGTTTGAGTTAAACAAAGCAGCCTCCTTTGAGAGAGTTTTTTTCTTTTACTGTTATTTCTGTTTTTGAAAGTATTACGTTACATCAGTAATCATCACTGTTGCTGCTGGTTGCCAAGCAAGAGCACTTTAAGTCATCAATTTAATTTATTTTGTCTGCTAATTAATTTTTATCTACTTGTACAGTCATTTTTAATTTTCTCTTAACCTTTTGTAAGCTAGCAGTGCATTTAAATTTAAAGAACACATTAATTAATAAATGTATCCATTTATTTTATGTACTTATTTTATTTACAGTTTTTTTGGGGTACAATTTTCATAAGTAAGGTGTACATTTTCAAAACTGTTAGTACAAAATCTTAAACTCATCACACTTGTAACACCACTAGTCATTCTTTCAAACCCTGATCTCATGATTTCATTGTAGTTTGCATATTTTCATTGCACATAATCATTGTTTCAGAACCCAAGATCATTGTGATATGTATTGAGAACATTTGGTTTAATCACCAAAACACAACAGTAAGATCTTCTTTCAATTTAGTACTTTTAACAATCAGTTCATCCAAGAGCAAACAATGCGAGATTCATGTTTCAAATCACCTTTGTTGCTGAAATAATTACAGTAATACAGGCAATAACTGTCATGCTATAAAATACACTTACATTACCTAACTCGCATATCTCACATACAATCCTTAATGTTTGTAAACGTTTTTATCCAGTGTGTTATCAAAAGGTGTGATGAAGTTATGCCATGGCCATAAGGTTTTGTGCTAGAACAGAGTTTACTGTCAATGCAGTAAATGTCCTTACTGTGCCATATGACTGAATCTATACTCTAGCTGAACTTTTCAGATAAAGGGCGAGTTATAGTAATGTGCAGTCTTTACCATGGTAATGCTTCTACATACAGTATAACATGGCATAATGTAATGTAAAATGCTGTATTTTATGCCATCTGTCTCCCTTCTTCTGATCAGTCTCTGATCAGTTCCTCTCCCTTGTGTCCTGCTGTAGTATGTTCCAAAATAGCAAAACACACGTTTTTACAAATGAAGACATCCTCAAAGGGAGGTTTTAGGCAATTTTGTCAAGTTTTGCTTACTTCTGGTTACCAATTTGTCCCCAAAATATAGTTACAGTAAGTAGGTACACGTACACACACACTTACAAAATTGGTTATCATCTTAAATAAATCACTTTTAGTGTAAAAAATAATTCATTGCATTTGGTTATCCCTAAATTGCAATCAAGTTGTATAGAAACTATATCTATTGAATCTATATCTATAGATGCACCAAATGATTCACTGATGAACCATTAAGATGAGTTAGATTAAATAATAGACAAATGTATTAAACTGAATGAGAAGTCATGCAAATGAAAAGTTTGATAGTAAGAGCTTTATGAAAGGCAGTTACTGTGAATGAAACATTTATATATATATGAAACACTTAGGCCTATTTTTTGTAGTGAAAAGGATACTTTGTGATTGTGTGTATTGTACTAAAACAACTGAAAATATGCTGAAATGTTTGAAAAAAGTGCACTTTTAATAACTTGTGAGATTAGTACTAAGAGTTTTGAAAATGTATCACTTGCTTGTGAAAATAGTACCAGACCAATTTAAAAAACTGTACCTGTTTTTGTATCTGCTTATTTTTGATTTATTTATTTATTTTCCCCTTTGAGTGTACTTAATTGTGACTTAACCTTACAAAAAGCATGCTCTGGTAACGCCTCATTACACCTACTTCAAAACTGGCCAATCACTAGAGCCCGTTCTCAGTCAGAAGCATGCCTGTATAAAGCCCCGTATGCTCCTTAAAAATTACATTATTGTTATTAATTAATGTTTTGCCTGTTGTTGAGGATAAAATGTAGCAGTGTGTATCAAACGCAAAAAAAATGAGAGGAGCAACTGTGCACGTAGTATGGTTTTTATTGTAGTTCTAGTTGCTGATTGATACAAGGTGATTGACATTTAGAGCCGGGTTGAAATGGGTAGTGTGTGAGCATGACACATGATTGGTTCTGATGCAGAGGGTGTATATATGAAACACTTAGGCCTATTTTTTGTAGTGAAAAGGATACTTTGTGATTGTGTGTATTGTACTAAAACAACTGAAAATATGCTGAAATGTTTGAAAAAGTGCACTTTTAATAACTTGTGAGGTTAGTACTAAGAGTTTTGAAAATGTATCACTTGCTTGTGAAAATAGTACCAGACCAATTTAAAAAACTGTACCTGTTTTTGTATCTGCTTATTTTTGATTTATTTATTTATTTTCCCCTTTGAGTGTACTTAATTGTGACTTAACCTTACAAAAAGCATGCTCTGGTAACGCCTCATTACACCTACTTCAAAACTGGCCAATCACTAGAGCCCGTTCTCAGTCAGAAGCATGCCTGTATAAAGCCCCGTATGCTCCTTAAAAATTACATTATTGTTATTAATTAATGTTTTGCCTGTTGTTGAGGATAAAATGTAGCAGTGTGTATCAAACGCAAAAAAAATGAGAGGAGCAACTGTGCACGTAGTATGGTTTTTATTGTAGTTCTAGTTGCTGATTGATACAAGGTGATTGACATTTAGAGCCGGGTTGAAATGGGTAGTGTGTGAGCATGACACATGATTGGTTCTGATGCAGAGGGTGGGGTGCTGTACACCTCTTTTCATTGGAGTATTTGCAGTACTTTATGTGGGTGGGGTTTACATTGGAATTATACTCCCATTTTACGCTGGTAATTACAGAGTTGACCTACTGTTTTCCTGTGCAAGCTATCAGATTCAGAAGGACGTGACATTCTGAAACTGTGCCAAGCATCCGTCAGAACAAACACAGACATGTGACGTGCTTAACAGTAAAGGGATTTTTAAACTCCAGGTTTGAGTTCAGACATGACTGTAAGTCTCATTAATGGTGGTAGAGGAGTTTAGCAGTGTAGTTCAAGCTTTTAATGACTTTCCTTCCAGTTTAAAGGACAGAAGCTCTGTAATGATAATCGCCTTATGATAAACTTATCCAGCTTGGAGAAATTTTAATGAGACATCCAAAGAATGGCTAAATATTTCTCGTAATGTATACGCAAATTGGTTTTAGAGTCAGACAGTGTAAAGACAAGGTGGTCTATTTTTAAATATTAGAGATGTTTGAGCTTAAGTCTTCGGCACTGTTCCACGTTCTTTGGAGTTCAAAGCTATAAGAGTGTTTGACCTCAGTTACTTCCAAAAGCTTATGCAAGACTGAAATTAAAATGTAACTTTTAAATATCAATTAGACTTATATATCGTAAAATATGCTTTAACTTAAATATCAATTTCCTATGACAATATGCAGTAATAACTATTTGGCTGGAGCAGCATACTTGCAGTCAGTACTTAACTAAAGAGTATTCTTTTTTTTAAATCTCAGCTCATGGTGGACTGAGGTACAGATGGGACCCCCTGATCCCATCCTGGGTGTCACAGAGGCTTTTAAGCGTGACACCAACCCCAAGAAGATGAACCTCGGAGTAGGAGCTTATAGAGACGATCAGGGCAAGCCATTTGTTCTGAGCTGTGTCCGAAAGGTGCCATCTTGCATATCTTACACACCTTCAAGGGATAGTTCACCCCAAAATGAAAATTGTTACATTTCCTCACCCACAAGTTGTTCCAAACCTGAATGAATTTCTTTTAGTTGTTGAACACACAAGAGAATATTTTGAAGGTTGTTGGTAACCAAAAAGTTCATAACAAAATACAATGGAGGTCAATCGCAAGTAGAGGGTGAGCGATCCCTTTTCTGGGTGATGTAACAATTGTAACAATGTAACAATTGCCGTACTTTATGCTATTGTCTTGTTAAGTTTCACCCTGGTTATACTATTTTACCTTCTTAGACTTTTTTTGTTTTATAGCTGGCCTACATTTAAATCAGCAATTGTCCATAATGCTATCTATTTCCAATCAGCCAACTAAAGCTTTAATATTCTAATCCCTGCCCAAAACAAATGACAGATTTTGGTATTGTCAGGCTGAGGCCCAGATTGCTGCTAAGAAGTTGGATAAAGAGTACCTTCCTATTGGAGGGTTGGCAGAATTTTCAAAGGCCTGCGCTCAGCTGGCTCTTGGACCTGATAATGAGGTCTTAAAGAGTGGAAGAGTAAGTAGTTTAAAGCAAAACATTTTGAAAGGAAGTCTTTTGATTATTAAATTATTAGATGTGATTGTTAATTGCCAGTTTTCTTTGCCTACAGAACATCACCGTCCAGACTATCTCAGGAACTGGATCGCTACGTGTTGGTGCTAACTTTGTGGTATGTTATTTTCATATCTTTTTTTTTTTTTTTGAGTTTGTGGTGCTGTGTTAGGCCTGATTGCTCTGGTTCAAGACTATAATAATACTTTTATAGAACCAAGGCTACTGAAGAAGTGGGTGATCACTGTTGACTCTGTTGTTATGTCTGGTGATTATTGATTAAAAAGGGGGTTAAAACGTATGAAATGTAGCTCACCACAAGTAGTCACAGCTCTGTCTCTCTCACTTTTTCTTGAGTAGTCACGATTCCACAATGCGTCCCGGGACGTGTACCTGCCTAAACCCTCCTGGGGAAACCACACCCCTATCTTCAGAGATGCAGGCATGCAGCTAAAGGCCTACTCCTACTATGACCCCAAAACCTGTGGCTTTGACTTTAAAGGAGCCTTGGATGATATTTCAGTAAGAAAAACGTTTTTATATCTTATACTTTATTGTGGTGAAACATTGTGCATTTGTTGCATTTTAGCTCTCTGATTTTCTTCTGATCCTCCTTTTCTTTGCATAGTCAAGTATTAATAAAGTGTGGGGGAAAATCCTATAAATGAAATAAGATTTATTTATTTAATAATATTCTCTTTCAGAAAATCCCTGAGAAGAGTGTGATTGTTCTGCACGCGTGCGCTCATAATCCCACAGGTGTGGACCCAAGGCCCGAGCAGTGGAAAGAGATGGCCGCTCTGATCAAGGTAACTGGTTCTGGCATTAAATTAAAGTCCAAAATCCAGCTGACCATAGGTCTCAGAAAACCCACACAGTAAAGTGACCGAGAGATATAGTCAGAAAGCTTGTCCTTGCCTTATCTTTGTGTTTGACCAGTTGGACCGATAAAAGAATGACTGTCCTCAGTCTCAAATGAATGGCTATGTCAGTGATAAGTTTCTTCGCTCTCATTTCAACAGAAAAGAAATCTCCTGGTGTTCTTTGACATGGCTTACCAGGGATTTGCCAGTGGTGACATTGATCGGGATGCTTGGGCTGTGCGTTATTTCATTGAGCAGGGGCACAACGTTCTTCTGTCCCAGTCTTTTGCTAAGAACATGGGCCTGTATGGTGAGCATCGAATATATTATTAAAACAAATCCTCAATTTGCACTTATATTACATTTATATACAAATTAAACACGTATATACAAGATATATTTACTTAAAGCAACACTAATATATTGTAATTTTAAGAGTTTTCATTGAGTGTGTCTTGAATATTTGAATACTCAAAAAGTTTGGGGTCTGTAAAAATATTTTTAAAAGACGCATGTAAAGATGCATTTATTTGATTTTTAAAAATCCAGTAAAAGCAGTGATATTGTAAATATTACAATTTAAGATAACTGGCAAATAAATTTAATAGTGCTGTCAAATGATTAATCGCGATTAATCGCATACAAAATAAAAGTTTGTTTACATAATATATGTATGTGTACTGTTTAATTATTATGTATATATAAATACACACACATGCATGTATAATATAAATTATATGAATATAAATTTATATTACATTTATATACAAATTAAATACGTATATACAAGATATATTTACTTAAAGCAACACTAATATATTGTAATTTTAAGAGTTTTCATTGAGTGTGTCTTGAATATTTGAATACTCAAAGTTTGGGGTCTGTAAAAATATTTTTAAAAGACGCATGTAAAGATGCATTTATTTGATTTTTAAAAATCCAGTAAAAGCAGTGATATTGTAAATATTACAATTTAAGATAACTGGCAAATAAATTTAATAGTGCTGTCAAATGATTAATCGCGATTAATCGCATACAAAATAAAAGTTTGTTTACATAATATATGTATGTGTACTGTTTAATTATTATGTATATATAAATACACACACATGCATGTATAATATAAATTATATGAATATAAATATAGACATGTAAATACATGTAAATATTTTCAAAATATATACTGTATGTGTGTGTGTTCATATGAAGAATTCATTTGCAAAAACCGATAACTCCTTTTTTTTTCAGAAATCATGTTTTTTTTATTGTGCATTCCAAGTAATATCAATCAAACTGCAGTTGGGTTGTTTTGATTAAGTAATAATAACTTAAACAAATACAGGTAATTTACAAAATTAAAGTTAATTGAAAGTATGTTTTTTTTACATATTAAAAGTTTGTTTCATAGCAAAAGCAGATAACTCCACATTTCATGTTTCAGAGTTAAAAAAAAACACTCGTTTAATCTTTGTAATCTCATCAGATGACAATGTAGATGCCTGACAAATGTTGTTGTTGTTGTGATCATAAACTGTATGGATGTGATTACACAGCTTTTCGCTCACCATTGTAACGCGCTGCTTTTGCAAGGTTCCGTGAAAACGTTTCAGCTTTTATTTTCCTTTTTCACACTGAAGAAGATATCACAGGTTCATCAAGTTCGTCGAAATTATCCATCCTCGATCACTTTTAGTTAGCTTTGGCGAAACTCCTCTCAGCTAGCACATCTTTTCAAAGTGAAAGTAGCCTTGTCACCTGACCTGAATACAGCGCGCTGATTCGCTAAAATGGACTTATCGGCTTCTGTTCAAAAACAACAATGGCGCTTGTCGGCATCTGCAGTAAAACATGAACTCGCGATTAGAGCCCGACCGATATATCGTTTAGCCGATATTATCGGCCAATATGGGCCTGTCGCCAATATATCGGTATTATGCCGCCAATACACCGCCGATATAAAACATTTTTTTACAGAGCAGATAATGCAGATAAAATGCTTGAAATGGTGTAATTACTTAGTTTGTCCAGCAGCGCGCGCTCGATTGTTTGCTACTAGCGACCTGGATGAAACGCTTTAAAGCTTAAGTCTATGGAAAACCATTGAAATTTTGAACAGCCATATCTCCGTAACGGCGCAGCGGATCCGCACCAAATTCGGAGATCCCTTCAGCTCGAGGAACCCTCTCGAACGCGAATCGGGTGTACATCTCAAGGCCCTCTTTCGAATGAGACCACCCCCGCGTTGATAGCCCCCGGGGTTTGGGAGTTACGGGCGGTTAAATTCGCGGTCCGGCGCCGACCGATCTAGCGATCCCGGGGGACTGCCGACGCGCGGAGGGTGGCATTCGAAAGGGCTCCTCGAGCTGAAGGGATCCCCCGAATTTGGTGGAGATCGGCCGGCGCGTTCGCGAGATAGTGACACCAGTCAACTCTTTCACTTCAGTAAGGAGTTCTCTTGTTCAGGCAGCAGCATTCGAACGTTGTCTTATTCGACAGTAAGTGCCCCGCGAAGTGGACTTCACATGATATTCCGCCATGATTCCAGTTCCAAGGGAACGTACACGTTGCATTCAAAGGGCATTAAAGTGCGTGAGACGTGAATTTATATTTATTTACAGAGGTAATTAAATTGTCACACTTCACACTTCTCTAGTAAGTTCCGTCTGTGTGTGAAGACAGTAGCGCAAATCCGTAAATGAATGTTCCACAGTGAAATAAACTTCAACAGAATAAAGTTGAATGGAATTTAATTGAATTAAAGTTGAATAAACTTCAACTGTACTGTTCAGTGCACTGATGTCAGACTCATTTTGAATAAAGTTTATTGTTAAATGCCCTGCCTCCATCATTACATATCTTTGTCACGTCATTATAAGTGTTTGATCACCACATTTGAGTGATCATTGCAAAAAATTTGTTTATGTATATACTGTATTCTATATATAGTACCAGTCAAATGTTTGGACACACGAATGGGAAAGTGTCCAAACTTTTGACTGGTACTGTACTATAATATACACAGAGAATATCGGCGGATATATCTATATCGCCTTTTTTTTTTACTCCCAAATATCGGTATCGGCCCCAAAAAACCCTTATCGGTCGGGCTCTACTCGCGATGCCTTGAAAGTGGACAATACCGGCTTTTTTTGACAAAATGTGTTTGGGGTTTGGATCGCGCTATATGTGAAGAATAATGCACGGCAATCAGCTCTTTTTTTTTTTAAGTGGTGTTTATCGGGTTTTGCAAATAAACTCTTCATATATACATAATAAATACACAGAACACACACACATATTATGCAAACAAAAACTTTTATTTTGTATGCAATTAATCGCTTGACAGCTCTAAAATTTAGCAACGCTAAATTTTCAGCAGCTATGACTCCACGGGCCTGTACCATGAAGCCGGATTAGCTGGCTATCCAGGTAAGTTTCCATTTTGTTTGCACCAATCCTGGATTTGTGAAAGTGGCTTGGCTTTTAGCTGCGTTCATTGCCATAGAAACTTATGCTCCACAGCTAACCTGCTCCAGGGCAGGCTATGTTCTGAGTTAGAGATCTCAAACTGAAATTGGACCAATCAGATGTTAGCAAAGTGACGCATGTCTGACTCTGACACAAAAAAGTCACTCCCCCAGTTTCTCTTGCTCCAAATTAAAGGTCACTAATACTAAAAAAATGTCTGGCTTTAATGATAATTACTTAAGAGTTATTTTATATGATTTATATTATAATTAATCCATTATACTCAAGCAATTTTATTTTAAGTTATTATAAATCATTTATTTTAAATTAATGTTAATATATACAGATCGTATGTAATATAAATAAGCTGTAGAATCAATAGATAAAGCTTTAAAAATGACTACGTTACCTTACATGTTCGAGTCTCTATCGCTGTACATTTCCAACTATATAAACAAACTTAACAAGTTTCACTTGTGACTGCACTGATAAAGCTAGTTAATTTCCTTTATTTGTCCTCTTTCATGAACAAGTACTTTTTTCATTGTAAATGCATTTAAATTCATCATATTCTTCGATTTCTTAACCTTTAGCAAAATCTTTAATATGACTCCACGGGCCTGTACCATGAAGCCGGATTAGCTGGCTATCCAGGTAAGTTTCCATTTTGTTTGCACCAATCCTGGATTTGTGAAAGTGGCTTGGCTTTTAGCTGCGTTCATTGCCATAGAAACTTATGCTCCACAGCTAACCTGCTCCAGGGCAGGCTATGTTCTGAGTTAGAGATCTCAAACTGAAATTGGACCAATCAGATGTTAGCAAAGTGACGCATGTCTGACTCTGACACAAAAAAGTCACTCCCCCAGTTTCTCTTGCTCCAAATTAAAGGTCACTAATACTAAAAAAATGTCTGGCTTTAATGATAATTACTTAAGAGTTATTTTATATGATTTATATTATAATTAATCCATTATACTCAAGCAATTTTATTTTAAGTTATTATAAATCATTTATTTTAAATTAATGTTAATATATACAGATCGTATGTAATATAAATAAGCTGTAGAATCAATAGATAAAGCTTTAAAAATGACTACGTTACCTTACATGTTCGAGTCTCTATCGCTGTACATTTCCAACTATATAAACAAACTTAACAAGTTTCACTTGTGACTGCACTGATAAAGCTAGTTAATTTCCTTTATTTGTCCTCTTTCATGAACAAGTAGTTTAAGTTATTATAAATCATTTATTTTAAATGAATGTTAATATATACAGATCGTATGTAATATAAATAAGCTGTAGAATCAATAGATAAAGCTTTAAAAATGACTACGTTACCTTACATGTTCGAGTCTCTATCGCTGTACATTTCCAACTATATAAACAAACTTAACAAGTTTCACTTGTGACTGCACTGATAAAGCTAGTTAATTTCCTTTATTTGTCCTCTTTTATGAACAAGTACTTTTTTCATTGTAAATGCATTTAAATTCATCATATTCTTCGATTTCTTAACCTTTAGCAAAATCTTTAACCTTTAACCAAGGCTCATGATTGGCTGTTCACCAGTGATGTCACACATTCATGCGCACGTGCTCCACAAACTCAGGATCAAAGCCTGAGTTGACAAAGAAAGTTGATGATCGGCATCATGGTACCAACAAAATTGGAGTGGTTTGGTTTTGTCAACTCGAAACTAATCCTGTAACTCTGAATTTGTTCATCTACCATCATGGTACAGGCCCCAGTCTTTAGTGTTGCGTGATCCTTCAAAAACCACTATGACATGCCGATTTGGTGCTCAAGAAACATTTTATTATAATTTATATTAAACAATTGTGCTGCTTAATTATTTTAGTGGAAACTAAATTTTTTCCAGCATTATTATTATAAAGTTCAAAAGAACAGCATTTATTTGAAATATAAGTCTTTTGTAACAATATAAATGTCTTTACACTGTCACTTTTGATCAATTTACTGCATCCTTGCTGAAGGAAATATTCAGTTCTTTAAAAAAAACCAACAAAATTGGAGTGGTTTGGTTTTGTCAACTCGAAACTAATCCTGTAACTCTGAATTTGTTCATCTACCATCATGGTACAGGCCCCAGTCTTTAGTGTTGCGTGATCCTTCAAAAACCACTATGACATGCCGATTTGGTGCTCAAGAAACATTTTATTATAATTTATATTAAACAGTTGTGCTGCTTAATTATTTTAGTGGAAACTAATTTTTTTCCAGCATTATTATTAGAAAGTTCAAAAGAACAGCATTTATTTGAAATATAAGTCTTTTGTAACAATATAAATGTCTTTACACTGTCACTTTTGATCAATTTACTGCATCCTTGCTGAAGGAAATATTCAGTTCTTTAAAAAAAAATCTTGCTGACCCTGAACTTTTGAATGGCAGTGTAAGTGTTTTTTTTTTTAATTACACTAGTACAATTTTTTTCACTAGTTTTCAACTTGTAAACAAGTGAAACAAAATATGTGTTGCTTCTTGCTGCTGTTGTAAATTTGTCATATTTTGAGAGATATAATGTTTTGTATTTTAACTGAAATCTTATTATTAATAATACTTAAGAATAGAAAAGTGCTCTAGGTCAGTGCTCTGTACCTTTGTGTCTTCAGGTGAGCGTGTAGGGGGCTTCACGGTGGTCTGTAAGGATGCTGAAGAGGCTAAGCGTGTGGAATCCCAGCTGAAAATTCTCATTCGGCCCATCTACTCCAACCCCTTACTTCAACCTTGCTGAAAGAAAAATTCAGTTCTTTAAAAAAAATCTTGCTGACCCTGAACTTTTGAATGGCAGTGTAAGTGTTTTTTTTTTTTTAATTACACTAGTACAATTTTTTTCACTAGTTTTCAACTTGTAAACAAGTGAAACAAAATCTGTGTTGCTTCTTGCTGCTGTTGTAAATTTGTCATATTTTGAGAGATATAATGTTTTGTATTTTAACTGAAATCTTATTATTAATAATACTTAAGAATAGAAAAGTGCTCTAGGTCAGTGCTCTGTACCTTTGTGTCTTCAGGTGAGCGTGTAGGGGGCTTCACGGTGGTCTGTAAGGATGCTGAAGAGGCTAAGCGTGTGGAATCCCAGCTGAAAATTCTCATTCGGCCCATCTACTCCAACCCCCCTATGAATGGAGCTCGTATCGCCTCCACCATTCTCAACACGCCTGAACTCTACAAAGAATGGTGAGTCCTGAGATAAAGTCCCATCACAAACACAGCCAATGAGAACTGAGCTCTACAGACTGTCGCTTTACTGTTTTTCTCTTAGGCTCGTGGAGGTGAAAGACATGGCCGACCGCATCATTAAGATGAGGGAGATGCTTGTGTCGAACCTGAAGAAGGAGGGCTCCACTCAAAACTGGCAGCATGTCACTGACCAGATCGGAATGTTCTGCTTTACGGGACTCAAACCGGAGCAGGCAAGTCAAGTGGAAGTGTATTCTGGGAATCTTTGATAAGACCTCAGCTATTTTCACTATCAGCCTTTTCTCACTGGCTTTTCTCTGCTTGTCTTCTTTATGGCTCTTTGTCAGGTGGAGCGTCTGATTAAAGAATTCTCTATATACATGACAAAAGACGGCCGGATCTCTGTGGCTGGTGTGACGTCTGCAAACGTGGGATATCTAGCACACGCCATCCATGCTGTTACCAAGTGAAGCTGGCTGCTGAAACTGTAGTTTCAGCAGACAGAGAGCAAGAAAAAGTCATTTAAATGATTTAAAGTCTTCTGCTGCATGTCTTTTAGGACCAGATATGAAATAGGACTAATGTAGACTTCCAGTTCACTTGATTTGGTATTATTAATGTTAATTCATGACTCTGAATGTGAGAAAATCAATAAATGAAGGCAGGATTCTTCCTTTCAAAGTGATAAAAACAAGCTTTAAAGGATATCGCTTATCATGATTTCCTGTGTCAGAACTGATAAGAATGTCTTTTTTTTTTATGGTACAAAATGTTCAGATAGAACAGTTAATGACATTTTAAAAATCATGTTTTTGTTTTCAAACCAATAACTAAATAAGAGTGATTGAAAAGTTACCCCATATGCTTTAGAGAAATCATTGAAAGGAGTAAACCAGATTTCATGTTTGGACATTAATTGTAAAATCTTTGAAGGACTGTAACCAGTTTAACATGGTCATTTCACCTAGAGGAGCATAAACCATTACACTTATCAAACTGATGATTCGGCATCAAAGGTCTTCTTGAGCCATAACACATTCTTAGACATGTTTATGACTGTAAGGCACTTATTCTATACTGCAGCGTAAGCTCATTATTAGTAATGATAGATTGTCCATAATGTGTGCACCACATGTGTTCTGGTGTAATTTAATATACATTTATCTTGCACTTTTGTCTAGAAGTTCCAAATGTCACACACAGATCATTTCAAAAATCATTAGGCATTCACACTAATTTTGTGTTTTGTCCTGGCCATAAAACTCATATGTCAAACTTTTTTTTTTTAAATTGTCACTGCATCTGTGGACAAAATCGAATTAAGATTCATTTTGGAATGAAAACTGAACAAAGTATAACTGATATTTCAGTAGTTAATTGATGCTTTAAGAAAAGCTTTACGTGTTTAGTGTGTGGATGTTGATAATGTTGAACATGCCATGTTTGTACGGATTATTCAGGTTTGAAAAACTGTTCAAATATATATATTTGTATAACTAATAATTGTGTTCCTAAAGCAAATTTATGAAATTTCTCCCGAAGTTCTCCGGAATAGACATCGAAATGTCACGAGTAATACTGTATGACTCTGTTTAAACAATGAACAAAAGAATAAAGGTGAGCTCAACGAAAACTCGAGTGTTTAATTTTTTAGAGAAAGCTTATGTAAACATCATTTTGTGGGTCACATGATCGTATTTTATAATAAAGCTACTTCTAAGTATGGTGCACCGGAGCCAGTCGAGGCCTCGGGCTGCAATAGTTGAGAGTCTGGTAACGGGAGGCTTCTCTCCTGGCAAGATTATCGCTACTGCTCGCAATCCAGATGGAGCCGAGGTAATGCTGTGAGCAGACAGTAGTAGGCCTATTTGCATTAGGCCTACTATACAAACATTAGAAACCAGCCCCAGATCATTTACAGTCATCTTAGCTGCAGGAGAACGTGCACATGCCTAGTTGAGAATTAGGATCAACATGCATTATTTAAACATGAACATTTTAGGTTGTTACATATTATTTAGCTTTTTAGTGATAAATAAATTTGTAAAAGAATAGATATTTCATGTAGTTTAATTATTACGCGGACCTAAAGGCCACACGTGTAATAATTATAAAAGAAAAAAAGTTTACAATAGTTTAAAAGGCCTGTTTGTTTTATAGGAATTGCAAATGTTGGCAGAAGAACATCAAAACACACATTATTAAACTGGGTAAGTACTAAAGCACCGTCTAATCTGGATAAGTGCTTCTCGGCTGGTTTTGCTTCTTGACCCAGTTTTTTATTGGACATTAGGTGGCGAGCTAACATAACACACATTTGTATTGTTCAAAAAAAATCCCTCAAGGGTTAAATTAAAGGATTAACATTACCATGAACTACCATAAAATCGACAGTTTTATAAATGCATAAACAACAACAAATGTGTCTGCCTTAAACTTAATGAAAACGGGGAAGAGTCAGCTTTTCTTTTACCATACATTTTTTTCTTAATGATTTAGTCACTAAATTTTAGTGGATGAGGGCATGTATGTTGCCTAGTTTTTCTCCCCTCTGTGGAAAAAAATAAAATAAAAAAGAACTAGCTACCCATTTTTGGCTAGTGACACCAGTTATGAACTGTTGATCTAGAAGAAGCTGTATTTGAAATTAAGAGTTTGTTTATCTTACTCTAATTGTGGATGTCTCTGTTGCTAGATGTTACATGTCAGGAGAGTATAGAGAGAGCTGCATCTGAGGTGGAACAGCTTGTTCAAGAGGAAGGTCTGAACTGTCTCATCAACAATGCTGGAATTAATGTTGTTGCCAACCTTGAGACAAGATGTTGGAAAACTTCCATACCAACTCTGTTACCTCGTTGATGATCACCAAGTTTTCATTTCTCAAATTAAATCCAGACACAATATGCACACATATCTACTCTCAACACAAATGTCTGAAAACGTTCGGACTTACTGAACTTGTCATGCAGGCCATGCTCCCACTGCTGAAGCGAGCAGCTGCAAAGGGCACAGGGAAGGGGATGGGCATTCACAGAGCAGCAGTCATTAATATGACGTCTCTACTGGGTTCAACTGAGCTGTACTGGGGTGATCGTGCCAACACCTTCAAATGGTACCCATACAGAACATCAAAGATTTGTGATAGTGTTCCTGGAGCTTAATGTCAAGATAAAAGTGTTAATTCCCAGGGAAGGGACAAAGTAATATGTGTTTACACTGAAAGTCAATTTGGATATTCATGAACATTTATAGGGATAATGAAAATTCTGTCATTAATTACTCACCCTCATGTCGTTCTAAACCCATAAGACCTTCATTCATCTTCGGAACACAAATTAAGATATTTTTGATGAAATCTGAGAGACAGCTACGTAACTACCATATTCAAGGCCCAGAAAGGTAGTAAGGACATTGATAAAATAGTCCATGTAACATCATTTATAATCGTAAAGTACAGCAAGGCATGACAGTCCTCAGAAAAAGACAATAAAAACTACCTTTTAGCCTATTTATTATTTATTTATAGCTTTGTAAAGCATAAAAATGTTGTAGGTGGCTTTTCACATTAAAGACTGTACTGACATTAAATGAGTTAGCTATTATTGTTAAATCATAAAACTGTATATGTATGAATAAAGCTGTATTATGTAATTGTACTGTGTTTGCTTCAGTTTTTTTGCTTGCTCTGACCTAGATCAAACAAAACAGATCAAAAACATGTTTCACAGATTTGGTTGCTAACCACATGTGTGTATTTCTAAATATCCAATAAGACTATAACTAGAAAATTAGACCAGATACACACTCTGTCCATCAGGTGGAGGTTCATTATGAGGAACTGAGCCACCGACTGTCTCCTAGCACCTCTTGCACTAACCTGGGCAGTAGTTTAGATCTAGCTAGCATGGCAGATCTGGAAGAGGAGAACATCCAGGGATCTCTGCGCTTTTCACTATTCTACGATCAGCTGCAGTCCAAACTGGTGGTGACGGTACTGGACGCCCATGATCTAGCCATGCGAGACTTCAGTCATAGTGTGGGGCACAGGGAAGGGGATGGGCATTCACAGAGCAGCAGTCATTAATATGACGTCTCTACTGGGTTCAACTGAGCTGTACTGGGGTGATCGTGCCAACACCTTCAAATGGTACCCATACAGAACATCAAAGATTTGTGATAGTGTTCCTGGAGCTTAATGTCAAGATAAAAGTGTTAATTCCCAGGGAAGGGACAAAGTAATATGTGTTTACACTGAAAGTCAATTTGGATATTCATGAACATTTATAGGGATAATGAAAATTCTGTCATTAATTACTCACCCTCATGTCGTTCTAAACCCATAAGACCTTCATTCATCTTCGGAACACAAATTAAGATATTTTTGATGAAATCTGAGAGACAGCTACGTAACTACCATATTCAAGGCCCAGAAAGGTAGTAAGGACATTGATAAAATAGTCCATGTAACATCATTTATAATCGTAAAGTACAGCAAGGCATGACAGTCCTCAGAAAAAGACAATAAAAACTACCTTTTAGCCTATTTATTATTTATTTATAGCTTTGTAAAGCATAAAAATGTTGTAGGTGGCTTTTCACATTAAAGACTGTACTGACATTAAATGAGTTAGCTATTATTGTTAAATCATAAAACTGTATATGTATGAATAAAGCTGTATTATGTAACAAATTTGAATATTCTGATCTCTTGGTGGCAGAATAGTGTTATTTCTTTACACAAATTTCAAGACATAACTATTTTCTTATAAACACATGCACATACACACAGTAAATAAACAGTTCAGCTTAGTCCATATCTTTATGCTTAGCTATATCTCACTGCACAGAACAGTTATGCATCATAATAATCAATCTTCTGTTTTTATTTTATTATAGAATCATCTACAGTGTTTTTCATATACATATACATTTCTATGAATATTATTTTGTTCTAAGAGGCAAATGGAGGTTCTTCCATATACAATACTACTCTTTTCCATAAGCAATTATCTAATCTCACATGCTGTGGCTATTTGGATACAGGCAGTGATAAACTGGCCATTGAATTTGCACAGTGTAGTAGTAAAGAAAGAAGAAGAGGGCAGTTCTACATGAAACGCATCATATCCATCTTATGTTTCAGCTGTAGATGCAAGAAAGTAACATAGATTAAGCCTGTTTAATAAGATCTGAATGAACAAGTGATCAAACAGGTTTGCCCTTGTGTTTGCTGATCATCTGTCAGGCGATCGCTGTCAACTGCGTCTCAGTATGGATCTCGGTCGTAGTTTATTCGCAAAATGGAACTAATGGAGGAAAATTAAAGCTGGAAAAGGTAGGGTTTCTGCCTTTGGTTCTTTTATTAGTGCTTTCCTTTTTAAAATAAATTTAGTACACATAAGCCTGCAAGAATTCACACTTGTCTTTCCCTGAACAGTATCTCAAAATATATTTTGTTTACTTTATATATTATGTAAAATACTATATTACTAACAGTGTATACAGTATTATATCAATCTTATTCTTGTCTGGATAAATATGAATATCAACCAATATCAATAATTTCAACAAAAGTAACTTTATGTCCTTCATTTCCAGGTCTGTACATGGCAGAAAGACATGATTTTCTTTGCCGTTTTGGGTCTGTCCTTCAGAGAAATTCAACTGTCATTTTCAGAGGAATTGGAATATAGTATTTTGGGCATATCTGTTGTCCTTTTCTTTATAGCCCTCTGCCTTTTGATATGGCAGATTTACCGCTACTGGTCACGGTTACCTGTTTCACGAAGACCTGGTAAATTCTCATGCAAATGAGAATGATTGATTTTTATATTTGACCTAATATTACACAAGATTAGTACATAATATAAAACGTGTAGTTTTAGATAAGCATGTTGTATTTTTGGCTTAGATGCACAGTATTGTATAAGAGTAACGTTATTATTTATTATATCTAGAGTACTGTTCAAACGTTTGAGGTCAGTAGGATATTTTTGTTGTTGTTGAATACTTAAAATGAATACTTTTATTGAAAAGTTGATCAGATGGGACAGTAAAGACATTTATAATGTTACAAAAGATCGTTATTTCAAATGCATTGTTCTTTTGAACTTTCTATTCATCAAATAAATAAAATTGTTGTTTCCACAAAAAATATTGATAAACACCAAAGCAGTACATTACAATGATTTCTGAAGGATCATGTGACACTAAAGACTGGAATATTACTGTTTTTATTGTATTTGTGATCAAATAAAAATGTAACCTTGGTTAGCATAAGAGACTTCTTTCAAAAACATTAAAATACGTACTGACCCAAAACTTTTGAAAGGTGTATCAAATAAAAAGTTACAGAAGACATGCTAATGAGGTTTATGCAGAATATCTATCAACATCTATTAGATTCCAGTGAATATTTTGTTAGCAGATAGCCTGTCGGCTAGGAGCGGAGGTTTTCAGTATGCTACACAAACAAATGACGCTAAGGTAAGATTCATTTGCATAAACCATCATTATCTTCATAACCTGGAATGCATACATTTTGTACTGTGTTTGCTTCAGTTTTTTTTAAACTGCACTGTTAATTGTGCTGCAAACTGATACATATTTATGCCGTCATCAACCCGGAACTAA